CAGATGCCAGCCCCCTCCTGTTAGTTGGCACCATTCATGGGCTACAGGGAGGAGAAGAAGAAGCCAGCTACTTTCTGTGAGTTGACACCATATGTGGGCTGTGGGGAATACAGTCATATGGCAGCCCCTTCCTGTTGGTGCCATTCATGGGCCACAGGGAGGAGAACAAGAAGCCAGAACGTCCTATGAGTTAGCACCATGCGTGGCCTGTGGGGAGGACAACCAGATGCCAGCCCCTCCTGGCACATGGGCTGGGAGACAAGAAGAGCCAAGGTCTCTCTTCCACATGTACCATTGTGAGCGACTAGCTGATATGGAGGAATACAGGCTGAGATGATAGCTATTGAAGTAAAATACAGTTTAATGCTTGTAGTGTTTAGTGTTTCACTGACTTTGCAAGCTTGAAGCCAGTTATCTGATCATCTACTTAGAAGATAACAATATGAAGTGTAGCATCTATAGGGGAATCTCCTTCTGAAAGTGGTAGCCATTGTTAATTCCCTATTATCTTGTCCTGAAGTCCTGTGTCATTTTCATTGTTTTGTTTTGTTTGGCTTAATTCTATTTTGTCTTGTTTGATTTTATTATATCTGATGGTATGGTCAGCTATTTAAAAGATAACAAGGTATATTATGGTAGCCATTTTGGATTTGCTATTTTCTTGTTTGAAGCCCTGTACTGTGTTCACTGTTTTGTTTTTATTGGCTCTATTGTTTTCTGTTTGATTTTCTCATGCCTGATGGTATGGGCAACTATTTTGAAGACAACAAGAGGCATTATGATAGTCTTTGTTGATTCCTTATTATCTTGTTTTGAAATCCTGTATCATACTGTTTTGTTTTGATTGACTTTATTTTTTTTTCTTGGTTTCATTCTCTTTAAAATTAAAAATAAAAAAGAGTTGGAAAGAACTGGATTGTAACTTTATAAGAGAAGGAATGAATTGTTAGGATGTTTTCTCTTTCCATGTGATGCTCTACACCACTTGAAATATTTCACAAAGTCCCTATCAGCAAAAAGTTCCTCTCCAGATACACCTGCTCAATTTCAAACTTCCCAGACTATAGAACTGTAAGCCAAATAAATCTTTAAAAATGTATAAATTAGCCTTTAGCATTCAGTTGTAGCAAAAGAAAACAGACAAAGATAGCAAAATTATCATTGGCAGTAGGGCTGAAAAAGCATGCAGGGTGGGGAAGCAGAGTCTTGCTGATGTCAGGGTTGGCCTGATGTAGACTGCTCAGACCTGCAGAGAAGTGAGCCATCACAGCGCCTGCCTCTCTCCATTCTTACCTTCTTGTTGCCAAACTTGAAGCCATCTCCTAGAGAACATGAGTAGAAGGTGTCACACATAGAATCTATATCTTTGGAGGGAAAAAACTACTTAATTGACCTTGAGTTTTTTTTTTTTACATAGGATCACAGTGTCTACCAGTTCTTAGGTCAGATGCTTTATGGCTGTAGAAACTCAGGGTGGTTAATTCTAGCTTTTAGGGGACAATTTGAGGACCAATAAAATGCTGAACATATATCTACATAAAACTTCACATATTATTTTGGGGAGTCCAGACCCAAGAAGCCTTCCACAGACCCTTCCATAAACCCTTAAAGACTACATGACCTCCACGTTTGGAACCTCTGATCTAGTGTTTTTCTTAGGCTAAAATAGCAATTGGGTAGCAACTTTGAGTTTTACATATTATTTCTTAGAATGCTGTTTGGCTTCTGGGGATCCTCAGAATATACTGTTAGTAGACTAATACTATATCCTACCATTTTATCTAACATTAAACCCTGTCTAATCTAAATGATGCAATATCCTTCTCTAGCCTCTGCTTAAACACTTCTAATGACAGAGACCTCACTATCTTTCCTGAGACACACTTGAATTTGTCATTGTGATTACTTACGTATACTTAGAATTTAACACTTTAGCTAATTCTGTTTGACAATTTATTTGCTTTTTCTAGCCCAGAATTTGTATTGCATATACATCTGATAAAGAAAGCATCTATGTCTTTATTCATTCATTCAATCAACCATTTACTCAACACAGATGTCCCATGTGCTTATTCTGTTCCAGGAATGTTCTAAACACAGGGAAGGGATGCAAAGATGAATAATAAATGGTCTTTGCATGTGTTTTCATAAAAAAACTAGAGCTCTAGACTTATTATTCCATAATCTCCTTTAGGTTGGCATTACTTTAGCACTTTGGGAATATGGTGTCAATCAGTTATCAACTGACCTAGAGTTACTAGCTCATCCATATTATGTTTCCCTTTCCAGAATTTATCTTTCTCTTCTTTCTTAAAATAAGGAAGATTCCCATATCATTTTTCTGGCCTTATGTCTCATGCATTGCTATGCCTCAAAATTCAACACAAGGGTTCCTCTTGCACCCTGGGACCCCATATCATTCTTCAGACCTTTCCCCTTTTATTTTCACTCAGAGGAACAAGTTAAGGACTGACTTAGGATTTGGGGTTTTCCTTTCTCCTGATGGTGGTACTTTTTTAAATGATCATATCCTGAAGTACAGTGCTTACAGTCTTACCAAGCTCATGTCAATTGCCTTGTTTGTGTAACTCTTGCCTTGCTGACAGAAAAGTGTCAGCTTCTTATCAGTTATGGCAGATTCACATATCTTAAAAGTCCTCAGAAGTTGTGGCTATGTATCAAAAGTGCTAGGTACCTAAAGAGAGAAAACACATGTAAATTTTTAGTTTTAAAATCCAGGTGTGAAACCAGGCATGGTAGCACACTCTGTAATCCCAGCATTCGGGAAGCTGAGGCAGGAGGATCATTGCAAATTTAAGGCCTGCCTGGGTTACAAAGTGAGCCCAAGGCCAGCCTGAATGTATAGTGAGACCTTGTCTCAGAAAGCAAAATAAAATAAATAAATAAAATAAAATAAAATAAAATTGAGGTGTGAAGCTAGATGTGGGGTGGCATGCATTTGTAGACCAAGCTATTCAGGAAACTAAGGCTAGAGGATAACTTGAAGCCAGGAATTCAGGGCCAGTCTGGGCAACACAGCCAGACTCTGCCTCAAAAAAAAAAAATTCAAGCTGTGATGCTATTTAGCAATGCAACAAAAATGTAAGGTAGCTGATTTTTATACATCTCCCAGAGAACTCTAGAATGTAGTATCTTTTCCCCACAGCCCAACATGAACACCATCTTCTTGTTTCTTCATAGCAAGCATTATCCTGTCAGGAAACTTATCCTTGTAACCCTAGCCCAGTGAGATCTCTACCTTGGTGGTTCCACTAATTAACATTTAGTCAGTGATCATACAAGTGATACAACTTTGCACTTTTTATCAGCATCATTTGCTATTTCAGGTATATATTTTCATGTGTTGATTCTCTTTTGGAAGTTAGATTTGGAAGAGCTTTTATATACCTTTCAGGGCTTTTTGTTTTGGCAATGCTAGAGATGGAATCCAGGGGCTCATGCATGTAAGAGAAGTGCTCTATCACTGAACTTTGCCCCCATCATTTTTGCTTTTTTTTGGTGGTAGTGTCAGGGGATTCTGGTTTTACTTTTTAAGTGATCTGGTACCTAAAGTATTTGTTTCAACCATGCAGTTATTTGGAAAAACAGTGGATTCCTACATGATGAGACTGATGAGTACTAGGAAGAACTGTCCCAGATCCAGATATCTTCTTTTAGCAGAACTTCATAGTATCTGTATACTCAATGAGTCTTTTATGCTTTGACTCTTGTTTCCTAATAATATTTACTACAAAAATATAAATAATACTATTCTCCTACTTCTGTAAATATCAGTAAAGAGGCTAAAGATTTCAAACCAGATGTCAGGTGCTGTTCTGGGAAAAAGGGAAGTTCCAAGGTATGTCATTCTTTAACTAGAGCCACTCACTGTCCTTACATTCTAGGAAATAAAATTATCCTACAACTTATTGATAAACAATTTGGTGGAAAAAGCAAGAAAAATTTTTAGGACATTAGTTCTCAAATTTTACTATACATGGAGAGCCCTTGGAGGGCTTGTTAATGTGCATTTTGCTGGGTCATATCCTGAGTCTCTGATAATTCACATCTCTAATCAGTTTCTAGGCGATGCTACTGGTAAAGAGACCATAAACTTTTAAGCACTGCTGCTTTAGGAGAATGTGTTGACAGCTTTCCAGAATTCCCTAGAGGAAGCACTGGTGGGTGACGGGAAGACAGGAAAAGTAGGGAGAGTAGGAGAGCATCTCCAGAAGAGAAGCTGATGGCTCAAAAATCACTCTGTCTGTTGATTATTGTTTATTTTGCATCATTTCACCTTCATATGTGAAGTAAAGGGCCACCAATTAATTTCTGACCTTTGGGTTTCAGGCCCTAACTAAGTCCCAAAGGAAGGTTTCTTTATGTCTAGTGCTAAGCACGACTGGGAATTTCAGTAAGAATAGTTGGTCCAGGACTTCTGGAACTTTTAATTCACTAAGTTTAAAGTCATAGCATATGAAACTCCAGATTCCTCTGTACTAGGACTTCGGTAGGGCCGTACATAACGCTAACACACTGGATGACGGAGTCGTCTAGCTTAGGCAGTGTGCCATCGACATCAAGAAATTCTAATGAGTTGGAGAGAAAGAAGCTGGTTAATGTTTTAGCCTACTAAATGTACAAATCAAACATGTAGACAAGGTTTTACAATATAAAGACAATTTTATTGCAAATTAAAGCCTTTAATAACTCATTTTTTTTTCTGTTTCAGTAGGACCTTATTCTTTCTGATGAAAATCCAGTCATAGTATCTCTCATTAAAAATAAAATTATTTTGAAATAAATAAATATATAAAATAAATAGCATATACATTTCATAAATAGTTCATTCTTATGCACAGTATCCATGCTTACATTTGAATATCATTTTGTTTATAACCTACTCTATGTTCCACTTCCAATGGCAGGAAAACTGCATGTCAGTATGAATGAGTAATATGCAGAGCCAACATGGAGATGGCTTGCAGCAGGGCTGGAGCCCCAAAGATTTTCTTTTTTTCTTTTTCTTTTTTTCCCAAAGATTTTCTTAATGAGACTTTTCCAAAGATTTGTAAGTAGCACGTATGGCAGATTTCTTGGCCTTTCATTTGTACCCATTGTCAAAAGGTCTTTAGGTAGACTGGAGCAAGACACCCCTTGCTTTGGCAGAGGCCCCCATTCTATGTTGTGCTACCTCCAGGGAAAGAAATGAATAAAAATAAAAAGTATATACAAGATTCCCTTATGCCCATCCCTTCCTCCCCCATCCCTCCCCAAAATAGCCCAACCTTGATATACACTTTGAACAAGAGACCAGCTGGGTCAAGTTGAGCAGTAAGTGCTTCTGTGTTATCTAAACTGATAGGAAGGAAAGATTGAAAAGCTATGAGTATAATGCTTGCAGAGATTACTGTGGCCCCAGAATACATGGGTCACAGAGGTCACACTGGAGGTCTATTACCTATAGTGGAAGAGGTCTCTGGATATGGAAGGCAATTTAGAAGGATCTACTGGCCTGGGCAAAAAGTGAGTGAATTTCTGGTGTCGTTTAGTCCTGTATCCCTCCCGAGGTGATCCATCTTTATTCAGGGCCACATAATAGTGTCTCTCTGAGTCCATGTGTTTGTACAAGGTAGAGGCATAGGTGTTGTACCAGTTCTCTTCAAATTGTTCCCGGAAAACACATTCACGTGTGAGTTTTTTCTGTGAAGGGAAGGAAATAAAGCAGAACCCATTATATGATTATTTCTTCCATCCCAGCTTGCTGGTGGAGAAATCCTAAAATAGCAATAGCATATTGACATTAGAAAATTTCAGTCCTATTTCCTCATGTTACTGAAGTATCATTCTTTCAAATAACACAAAACATTTCTGATTTTCTTTCATTCTCTTTTGTGAACCACGCAAAATGTGTTGGATGAGATCTTTTCTGAAGGGAAGAGATTGGGGGAGATGGCCTCAGGTGGCTCTTTGAGCCCAAGAATTTCTGTTATGGCATCCAATACTGTGTTGGTACCCACTGATCTTTCTTCCCACTTAGTGCTAATAATGTTCAAATCCACTGAGATTATAGTCAACTAAATCCACTAACAGGCAGAGCCTTGGATCTATATAAAGCTCCATGGGAGGAGAGCTGTAATATTTCCTAATGAAGGGTCCCAGGCCTGTCAGTTGGAAAGTACAGAAAAGATCCCCTTGAAAAACTCCTCCAATCTGGCTATTTGAAGCTGGCAGCTCCTGGGTCTCTTGTCTGTGTCTCCTCTCACACTTGATCTGGCCACCATACTACTTGTAGGGGTTGCCAATACTGAGTGCTGGGGACAAGCCTATCTCTTAGGTGTCAGGGAAAAATGTGTTCTGATTTAATGGAGTATAGGCAGCCAGAAAGCATGCAATGTGACTCAAAGGTTTGAACCAGGAGTTGGGATCCCTTGAAAGGGTTAAGGTCAGAAAAGTTACCAATTTCCAGTGTTGGGCTACCTTCCAGAACAGAGAAATGCACTGCAGCTAGCCTATGCCTAGTTAGGGGCTTATGGCTGTCACCAGACTCTGGAACCCTCATTCTTCATTTCTTTGTTTCATTTGGCCTTTGGGATTCAATTAAAGCAATGTAGAAATCATGGGCTATGTTGTTAACCTCAGATTCCTCAATTTAAAGGCTAGTTCTTGTACTGCCTATTTTTATGCTACTTCCCTGGGCATCCATTAAAATTGAGATGTGCTCTTTGGGAGGGATAATACCCAAACCCTGACTATCTGCTGAGAAACCAGCCCATAGATAACAATCTATGGTTATCATCAGACTGCTTGCCCACTAATGGGCATGGTAAAATAAATGTATCATAGAAAAGCCCTTATGTTTTGATGGTGGGAACAGAAATGAGTAAAGATGTTATAGAGCAAGGCTCTGGGCAGCCAAGAAAAAACCAAAAGATGCTAATTTTGTACCACTGACAAAAGTGCTCTCAAGTTCTAGATAAATTTTTGTATCCTTTTGCCTAACATTGTCCAAATTCTGGTGGCAATAATCTCAGAGCGGAAAAAAGACTCTGAAACTTACCGATCCATATAGTTCTCCTCTCTCATTCATTCCTAGGTACAGGCCAGAGTCCACACCCCGGATGCTGATCAGCCCCACAGCTAGGCTAATAAACTCCAGAATTCCTAAAGGAAAAAAAAAAAAAAAAAGCAAAGGCCATTCTGTTACTATCACCAAGCCAAGAGAAAGATATTCAGGGGCGAAGTATTTGGCTCAGTGGCAGAGTACTTGTCTAGCATGTGTAAGATCCTGGGTGCGAGCCCCAGTAGATGGGGTAAAGCAGACCTAGGGACCTGAGCATGCTAGGCAAGTGTTTTGATTTGGGCATATTATGAGGTATACCTTCAGCCCAAGTGGGCATATTATGAGAAAGAAACCATAAAAAGACTTTGCCTATAAAAGCCCATAATTATAAGGTGCTACTGTTGCCAAATCCCCCCCGCCATTCCAAGAACTAGGACAGCAGCTTTCTCAATGGGAGAAAGAGGACAGGCTTCTGTATCTTTCCCAATGTCACTTCCTTCCTCCCCAGAGTACTTGCTGTCCTCTAGCCTGAAACTGTTTTGCACCCTCTTAGCACTCATGTCCTTAAAGTCACATGAGGCTGTCAACTGCCTGTAGCTGACTTTAACAAAGGCCACATAGGTCACTTAATTTGTTCCCCCTGCTTATGGCAGGAAGCAAAACTTGGCTTCTTGAGAGCTTTCCCTTAAAAAGTGCTCTCAGCTAGCATAGTCCTGAGTTTGTCACTCTTCTTCTCTCCTGAGAATTTTAAGTTTATCCATGGCAAATAGTTGGCAAGTAGTATTGGACTCCATATTGATTTGAGATGTTGCAACGTTAAGGGGAAAGAAAAGGAATTCCAAAATATCCTTCTGGCTGACAAAGTCAGAGGTAAAGATTTTTAAATATTTTCATTTATCCCACAGGGGGAAAAAACCCCAGACAAACAAACATACAAAAAAGAAATACAACAACTACAAAAAGAGCAAATAAAATCTCTGTAATACTGAAGACTTTGTAATTTTGTCATAATACAGTACACCTATTCTGTGGATATAGATGTAATAATCAACTAGATTCTCCTTTGATATTCCTATCTGTAACCATGTTTTTCAACATACAGAACAAAAATGATATGATTGTCTGAGGTATCCAAAGGTATGAAATAAGTTCATATGTAGTCACTTCCCATTTAGAGAAATGCAGTTCTTTCAAGTACTAGGGATTGAACCCAGGGACTTCACACAGCTTCACACTGAGACAGTCTTGCTAAGTTGCACGGGTTGGGCTGTAACTTGTGATTCTTCTGTCTTGGCCTCCCAAGTATCTAAGATTATAGCAATACTCAGCTCCAACAATGTAATTCTTTTTAAAAACAGGTAAAGGTTTAATCAAGAAGAAAGAAAAAATGGTAAGGGACTTATAGATTGAGGAACTCACAAAGATCTGGATGTCGCTTAACAGAGGAGAGTGATAAATATAGGAAAGGACTCCAGTGCAAACACTGGAGCATGCAATTGCTAATAATAGGGATTAGACAGAGCCAAAAGGTGAAAAGAAGGTTATTTTATTTTATTTATTTATTTTTATCGGTACTGGGGATTGAACTTATGACCGCCTGCTTGCAAGTCAGGTGCTTATGCCGCTGAGCTAAATCCCCAGCGCCCCCCCCCCCCTTTTTTTAGACAAGGTCTCACTATGTAGCCCAGGCTGGCTTCAAACCCATGGTGATTCTGCTGTCTCAGCCTCCTGGGTACTGAAATTACAGGCATGTGCCATCATATCAGGTTAAAAGTTGAAATTCTCAAGGATAATGATATTCCATGTAATCTACATAGAAGGCAGCATTTATTTCACAAAGACAAAAAAATTTAAGTGGTTAATTTTAAAATCAGGTTCAAAACTCCAGTGGGAAGTCTGTGGAGCTCCAGTGACAAGCTGGTGAGTAGAATGCTCAGGCATGGTAGCTTTGGGGGCACATGTTTCTACTCCCACCCAGATATGTTTGCAATATATCAGGGTTTTCTGTTCCATGTCTCTAGAATACTTAGGGTTTGGCCTTTGTTCTCTTGTGTTGAAGACTTCTGAATTTTGTTTGCAGTCAGTAGTTACTCTATAGTAAGGAGTCTTAGGAAAAGATTGACAGACAATAGTAGGAGGGAAGAAAAAATGACTCATGCTAAGCAGGAATTATTCAAACACTGAATTAATGGACCCAAATCTTCAGTTGTACTGAACAAGGTTCTCTCCTGTTTAACATTTTAGGAACTCACTCCCCAAAAGACTGATCACCCTGGTTCAGAAGACATACAGCTGAGAGAAATGACACAATTAAGATCCAAAGAGATTTCAAAAGGATACATAAGTGGGATGGCTCTAACAAAATAAGCTTCATGAAAATCAGTATAAAGTCCTGCACTTTTGTCCTCAAACCAGTATCCCAAGGTGTATTTGAGCTGTTTATTGGTTGAAGGTAAGCCTCAAGTACAGTTGAGTTAACTGTACTCTTTATTTCATGACTTATTATCATAACTGGTCTGTGCAAAGGCTTTTCAATTATCTGTTTCTTTTTATATTCCTCTCTCATTAATCTCCCCTCTCTGGGCAACCACGTGTGTTTTCTTGAAAATGTATACCGTTATATTGTGTTTCGGCACAATTTTTGGCAGGTGCTGGAGATTGAACCCAGGGTCTCTCAACCAAGTTATAAACATTTTAATTACATGCAAGTCTGTCCATCTCTGCAACAATTAGATGTGGCTCAGAAAAATATACACAACAGTGAGTTAAGGAATTATAAATAAGTCCAATGTAAAACTGATCATATAAAACTTAAATTTCATTTAAAATCTAATGTAAAAAATGCTAAGCATGGCAGCACCCTTGTAATTCTAGCTACTTGGGAGGCTGAGACAGCAGGATTTCAAGTCTGAGGTCAGCCTGTGAAAACTCAGTGAGATCCTGTCTCAAAATAAAATGTTAAAAAGCTTAACAGTAAAGTACCTGTGTTCAATCCCTAGTCCACAAAAAATTTGGGGGGAAGCTAGTGTGATGTAAGGCTGCATTGAGAGAGGTCTAGCGACTAGCTAAGGGGAAGAACTGCCTTAGCTAGACTACACTGAGAATACTGTGTTTGGTTCTAATACGTTTAGAGAGGAATATTGAAAAACATAAGCATATTCAGAGTGACCAGTATGGCCAGCAAATTAGAAAGCAGTCAATGATTAAGTTCTGGATGCTAAACTCTGGAATGACACCAACCCACTGGAGCCCTTGCTTCTTTGCTTTGCTTGGGAAGATTACTTATGAGCTTCAAGTTTTAGTTCTCTCATTCTCTAAGTATCTCATGTCTCTGACTACCCTGAGCTCATTAGCAGAGGGCAGCTTGTGATCTCACTGCTCAAGACCTGGTGTGAGAACAAATAATGAAACCCAAGAGGTGTGGCCATTTGAGTCACCACAGTTTTTCTTCAACTCTCTGTTAACCCTGAAGCCAAAGGACAGATCATACAGGAAGTCACTTGGGTTGTGTCCAGTAACAAGGGTCTCCAACAGCTGGAATCATCCCTGTACAGCTGTCTTTGAGCATCATTTCCCTTTGCCAACTTTCCTATTAGCTGGATTCAGACTGTGGGAACCCAGTGGCACATGATGATGGAACAGATATTTCTAGACCTTCTCCTGAACCCAAGCCAGCATGAAAAGGGAGAGAAAACAAGCCATTTTCATATTTTCCCAGCTACAGCTGGACAGGGGTGTTAACAGCAAAGTGTTGAGGCACAGTACTGAGTAGATAAACTTTGTCTTCAGTTCTTTCACCCCCTTCAGGGCCCAAGACCTTCCTCTATACTGTTTCATCTTGACCTGTTTGCCTCAAGTGCTGGCCTTTTCTCAACAATTTCCAGACTCTTCACAGCACACCTTTCTCCCCTGGGGCCTCAATCAAAATTGATCTGTCTCAGGTCCCAAATGCTAGCTAGATGACTAATATGTATTTTTGGTAAAGAAAATGATAGCTAATATGTCATTTAATCTGGTTCTATGACTTGCCTGAGCTCCCTCGGCCATTCTTTCAGACTTTCAGGGCTATGACAGTGTTGCCTTGGCATCTTTCCAAGTAAGAACTAGCTCACTCAGACACCAAAGCAGCTGCATGAGCCTGCTCCATCCCGCCTGGCAGGAGGTCTCTCCTCTAGGCTGGCTCCCAAGCTCTGTTCTGCCAGTCTCACAGGTGCCCCTCAGGAATGTCAGAATCCCTGTGAACCTCATGTAGTGCCACCATCCAGGTGGGGACTGAAATACTTCTGGCTACTGATTGCAGATGGAGAGCAGGGAGCATACGCTCTGCCAACAGGTTATTATTTGGAGTCAAGGCTGCTCTTGGGCTCAGCCTGACTAGTTCTGAACACATGGATTCCAGGATAATCCTTGGGGGCCCTGCTCTCCAATTACAACAAATAGCTATTTACTTTACATGGGCTTTGGAGACTACCTCCTCCCCCCAAGTAGAAATCTATAATATTTTATATCTTAACTCTGGCCTACTTTACCCTGCTGGAGTGTTGACTGCTAAAGCACTTATGGAATGTTAAAGCTTTGATTTATTGAATATCCTGGCTGATTAACTTAAATGTGAAGGGAGAAGAGAATTAGTAAACTCAAATGCCACTTCTTTCGGTGCCAAAAATTAAACTGAGAAAGTGTGTGTTTGGAAGTTGGCAGGGGAGGCTACAGATAACTTTGACCAGTTATCATTTCCTTTACCAAAAATACATGGAACAGCCATAAAGTCAAGCAAGGAGGAAAGAGAAAAGGTGGTACAGAGGTGGTCTCATACAATGTGGGTTTTTTAAAAAGGCAAAACCAAAAATGAAGCAGTCAGTTAAACATCAGCAAAAACATCCCCTCCTCTGCCACTTTTATTTCCTGTGGTTTCTCCTTAAATTTAACATCCTTAGCAAGTCTGGGACATGAAAAAGAAATCTAGATGTGTCTTCATGGAGGTACTCAAAGACTACTTATCCCAAGAGCCTATTACTAATTTATGTTGACCTTGTAGGTTATTGGGCCCAAATCAGACACACAGTCAAACACTTGGAGCAGCTGGGAGCTATATGCTCATTTTTCCTCCACTTTTGTTGCCTCCCATATTTCCCCATCATTCCATGACTTTTCATACATATATATAGTATATGCGTACATGATATCTGTATCTATATATTTTTTCTTTTATATATGAACTATTCTATTATTCCTATTTCTGGAACTCTCTGAAGCCAGTACAGGAGGCTAATTCCTTGTGAAGAGGAACAAAAGAGGACTGCAAAATCACAAGCAATGGAAGGGAAAGGAGCCAAGTTAACACTCCTTCTCTAACTCCCCACCTTATCACCCTTTTGAGGACCTGCTGCAAGTTTATGCAGACACCTGCACCCCTCTATTACCCCTCCCAACCTACTGTACTACAGCTCTGTTTGAGTGCATTTTTCCAAGATGACATAGACCTCATTAGAATTCTTGCTTGCTCCCAGCAAGGAAGATTAACCCTGGCCTGAAGTTTTTTCACTAGATTTGGTGTTAGCCAGAAACTATCCTCCCTTTCACTGTGCACACCAGACGTAGCTCTAGCAAGGCATGGAGAATAGGAGGATGGGGAAGTTTGGAGAGTGGAGGTAGGTGGGAAAAAGGGAACTGTCATGCTTGATGGTATGTAGAGCCTCTTACTGGTTTAGAAGTGGAAGATACCCTTGGGTTATAGGGACCTTGGAGGGAAGCAGAGAGTATCAAAAGCCGAGGGAGCAGGAGAGGTAGCTGTTAAAGCACCTGTGTGATGGCTTAATAGAGAATAGGAAATTGAAACAAATTTACTGAGGAGGGGACACATTTGCTTGGAAACCTAATAATCTTTGTCCCAGATCAAGTCTTATATTAATTGTGCAATTAACTCTATATGTGAGATTGGTAGCTGTGTCCTTTGAACAATCTGTATAGTGGTGGGCAGGCAGATTACAATCCTGAATGGAGACTAGACATTTTCTGTCCTGGGCAACACTTGTTTTGGGGCTTAGCAGTGGGCTCAGGATGTTTTCCTCACTGAGGTAAGAAGTGCAGAGGTCAAGACTTGTACCTACTCTTAAATGTGGGCACTTCAAGGTTTCCTAGATTCCTTGCTACCCCAGTCATGTTGTGCTGCCTGGATTGGCTCCTACCCTCAGTAGAGCAACCTAAAAGCAGACAGGTGCTATAGGTGCTCATTCTCTGCCTGTTAAAAGTGATTCGGATGTGGGCTTGCCCACTACACCTATGACTCAAGCAATCGCCTGCTCCAGGCAATCAGCGACAACAGGCCTGATGCCCTTGAGGCTTGGATGGCACAGTAGCCAAGCTACCCGGTCTCCTAGACGAGGGCTCTAACTCCTTCCTTTCCCAGCTCCACCTGCTTTGGTGGAGGCTCAGTGCTCAGCTCCCAGAACAGCCCCTGGCTCTTGAGTTTAGGAGGGTGGGGCGGGTAAATGAGAAACCACAGGCATGGGGCCTTTGCTCCCTCCTGAGAGAGTCAGAGGGCAAGGGGCTCCAGGAAGCTCCGTTGCTCTGGTACTCGCCATCGCATCCCGCCTTGACTGGACAAGAATGCTCCAAGTTGGGGGGGGGGGTCCGCCGGGCCCCACGCCAGAACCCGGAGCCTTGGACTACCCAACTAGTTGTCTGCCCATCTCCCGTCCTTCCCGGCTGCGTCCTCACCAAAGCGGCTGTGGTCGTGGCGGGTGCCGTGTACCGTGCCGTTGGGGAAAATCTCCAGGTGAAAGCCAGTTCGGCAGTAGAGCTGGCGCCGCCGCAGTATCCCTTTCAGGTGGGCGAAGTCCGTTGGCGAGCCACGCTGCAGCTTTCCCTCGATCTGGCCCAGGCGCTCATTCAGGAAACCCGGAGAGTCAGCTAAGGGCACGTTCCCCAGAGAGGAGGAGAAGCCATGCAGATCCCAATCCAAAGAGGCAAAGACCCCCGCCACCTCCGCCATGGCAGGACCGACGGCGGCTCGGGGCTGTGCGGGATGCCTGCGGGCCGAGCCTGGACCGTGGGGCGCGAACTGCCTCTTCTCGTGGCGGTCGCGGGCGATACGGTGGCGCTCGCTTGCTCCTTTGCTCTGCGTTCTGCCCAGCTGCAGGCGACGTCTGTTCGTGTCCAAGGAACTTCTCAGTGGAGGAGAGTGTGAGGCAGCGCGCTCTTGACCTTACTTACAGTCAAAGTGCTGCTTGCCCTCCGCATCCATCTCGTCCAGCCTCTTATTGCTAGCTTCCTCGAGCTATCAAATGCAAACGGCACTTTATATACATACCCACTCCCCTTACATTGACATATTGGTATTTAAATACAAGCCACACCTCACTGGCATCCCCTGAGACTGGTGTGTGAGTGTGTGTGTGTCTTCCCATATTCATTTGGCTCTTTGGGGAGGAGGAGGAGGAGGGAGAGGAAAGGGGGAGGGAGGAGGGGCAGGGGGAGAGAGAGAGCGCCAGCGAACTCCTTTTATTATGAAAAAAAATGGCAGGAAAAAGCAGTGAGGCATAACTGCAGTGAAGCATAACTGCTTTTGGCAGGTTTTTCTGAAACTGCCGATTAAATAACGGAGCCTAGTGCATCGAAGCCTTTGGAGCCCATGGCCACTCACGCCTGTTCCGTGGGAGTCTGTTTGTCTGCTGCGCTGGGGCTGTCCCTACCTTCTATGCTTTCTCAGGTTGCTCGACTTTGGAAAGTACTGTGAAACCGCGGCTTAGGGGTTTCACATGCTCCTGAGTCCTTCTTGTTCCTAGGCTGGTGAGAGAGGGCGCCTGGCTCGGGACAGGGACTTTTTGGTTCCTTTGTTACGCTGCCCCATAGTCGGGCTACCCACCTGTAGGTTGACAAGGGGATGAGAAGTGAAAAATCCGGAAGCTGAAGGCCGTGGCAAAATTTAGGATTGGGGCTGTGGTAGTTCCTGTAGACACCAAGGCGGGGGATTTGAAGGGTCTGGGAGGAGCAGGAAATCCCACGAAGGAAAGAAGACTTAAAAAAATTTTTTTCCTGTAGGGACGTTACAGCTTGGGGAAAGGAGGGAGGAGTTAGAAAAAGAAAGCGATCTTTTTTGAAAAATGATCTCTGGGCGCGCTTTTACAGGACTCTTAAGAGCAAGCTCAAAAAGAGGCCACTGGAAGCCTGGTAGGGTTTCCTCCCGCTTCTTTTTTGGTCAGAAACAGGTGTTTCCTTGCCCTGTCCTGTACCCTGCTTCTACATATTCTATCAGGAAGAGTGACATTTGGGGCTGGAACAAGCGACAAACCAAGGCAATTGGCAGCGTGGAGAGGTCTTTTGCAGCAGGTGATAGGCCTATCCTGAGGTGTAGGGACACCTCAGCTTCGGTGCCCTCTTGGGGCCTGGCACATGGCGTCCCTTTTACCTATTAAACCGCTCTGTTTCTTGCAGTTTTCACCATCAGCTAAGGCTGATCACTTTTCCAGGTTCCTGAAGCGCACCTTGCTTTATCCTGCCTCTTCTTTGCAGCGCCTCCTACTGGAGACCCCGCGTCGCGCGATAAGTTCTAACTCAGGGTCACCATGAGACCAGATTCCACTTGGTTCAGACAGTGCAGTTCAAGGTCCTACTTTTGAGATCCCACGTGCACCCTGTGCTCACTCCCTGAAACTCTAGAAACCTCGGTTTGGAACATCATAGATTGATACTTTCGTGCCTCACTATTTCAGAAAGAACCCCTAGAATCAAACAGAAGGTTTGGCTCTCACAGGCTATCAGAAATAATTTGACGTGATCCCAGTAGTAGAGACACAGATGAGATCATTCTCCAGTTGAAGTGCACACAGAAACGCAAAAGGTTCATATTGGAATATTTATGAATGAAAAAATATGGTTATCTGAGATTTGCTTTAAAATTATCTAAACTAAGAGGGCAGAAGAGATGGAGATATGGACTTGTTATTGTCCCTGTGTTGCTAATTGGTGGGTACATGTATGTTTATTATACTATATGTATGAAACTATGTAATATATATTATATATATGAACATTTACACAATAAAAAGCTTTTATAAAGCTCGAGGATGTAGCTCAGTGGTAGAGTACTTTTCCAGCATGTGCGAAGCCCTGTGTTTAATTCCTAGCAAAGCACATACCCACCTACACCTTTTAAAAGTGGAACTGGCATAAAACAACAACAACAAAGGAATCATTTCTTTTTGCTCCTTCCCTTCTATGAGTGTGAATTTAGTGAAAAAATGGAGGAGAGGCTGAGATTAAGATGAGTATATAAATGACTATAGAGTTCAAGACAGTATGAAGTGCACAGCTCTTGTACAGAAAAGAAGACTGATCTGGAGGTTTCAGAACCAGTTCTGAACTAAGATGCCTTTGTAATGGATCCCTTGAAGGGAAGAAGGAAGGAATTTTACAGATTCAGATGGGCTGCTAACAGTAAGGAGAAAGGGGCTGGGGATTTAGCTCAGTGGTATAAGCGCCTGCCTTGCAAGCGTGTGGTTGTGAGTTCAATTCCTGGTACCGGTAAAAATACAAAAAAAAAAAAAAAAAAAAAGTAAGGAGAAAATAGTCACAAAGTACAATTTGAATTGGTAAAGTCTAATTATTAAAGTGAGTGAAAAATAAAATAATGTAGGTGAAACTGTTTTGAGAAGTATGTGATATATGGGATTTAGATGTCTCTGTGATGATATAAGTTACATATTGATTATGGCAAAGACCATTTCTTGAACAGTAGCTTCAAGGAATTTTTGCATTCTTTGTCCCTCAACATTCTCAAAGTCACCAACCACAGCTGATATATTTGGTCTCTTAATGGAAAGGGTAAGCTTTCCATTACCCTTCAGGGGCTGTTTTGAGATGAAGCTCGCAATTTTGCTTCAAATAAAGTTTCTATGAAACATCTTAATTGACAATGTACTTTCTTTTTTTAAATTTTATTTGAAAGTATACAACAGAACAAGAGAGAATAAAGCCAACTAAGATCATACAGTGAAATTGGTACAGAACTTCACAGGAGGTTACCGGGATAACAGTAATAGGTAGGTATCACAGTATACTTTGTTATCTTTACAATAGTTGTTCTTTCAATCACGTATATCAAAATGAGATGAAATACAGAACAGTATAGAACTTATCAAAACAGAATATTGAATAGAGCAGTACCATTAATCAGAAAAGAGCAAAACAGTAATAAAAATATTTGCCTTCAAAGAGATGGTAGAAGGAAGTCCCCCTTATTTGCTATGGTCAGTCTCCCAGGAGATGCTCAGATTTCTGGTTCCCATTTGCTAATGGGTGGCGGCGGGTGTGTGTGTGTGTGTGTGTGTGTGTGTGTGTGTGTGTGTAGGAAGTGGGATATTTGACTCTAGGCCGTGCATCAATAGGTTCACTATTGTTTAGCAGGGAGGCAGTCTGGTTGTTTGGTTTCACAGCATCCTAAGTTCCAACGTGGCGTGGATCTCAGGAGCTGCTGCTGGTTCTCCCCCTAGAAGGGCTGCAGTCTGCCACATGACAATGTACTTTCATGAAAGTTGCCTAATTTTCACAACCTTGCAGAGAGGGAATTATCATTCTTCTGTTTAGAAGTGAGAAAAAAGAGAGTGGTGTTAAATCATATAGTTAACAAATAGAGTCACAATCTGATCTCAGATCCATTGGAACAAGTTACTCTCAACTCATGGGATTTGGAATTATCCAAAGATCTTCATATTGAGGACAGTGAGATTTCAGAATATAGAAAATCCTAAGCAGAATATAACATCATGGTTTTGCTAGATATATGGGATGAGAGAAAAATGTACGTTTGAAAAAAGAAAGCAAACATTCAATTGATTTCTGACATCATTTTATAAAATGGAGATAAGCATACCTTTTCACAAGAGTATTGTGAAAATGAAAGCACCGATGGAAAGTGTTTAGCCTTATATCAAGTAGATGGAAGACAACATATGAGGCTCCTTCTTCCTTTCCCAGTACCTCACAAGATTGATGTGAAAAATAAAACAATTTATGCGAAAAGTAAGAAAAACCAGAGATCAGATGTAGTGGCATACTCCTGTAATCCAAGTACTCTGGGAGGCTGAGACAGGTGGATCTCAAATTCTAGTCCAGCCTGGGAGATTTAGCAACTTAGCAAGATCCTGTCTCAAAATAAAACATTAAAATTAGGGCTCTGGATATAGTTCAGTAAGAAAACCCTGGCTTCAATCCCCAATACTAAAGAAGAAAAAGAAAAAGAAAGAGGAAAATGAGGAGCAAAAGGGAGAGAGAAAAAGAGAGTCTGACTTCAGTTATAGAGTTCTGACAAGGCATAATAGGAGTGGGGAACTGACTTGACTCCACTTAGAATGGGGAGATGCTGCTGCTGATAGTGCTAGTGCTCATCACACCTTAGTCTATACCACCACCACCCTAGAAGTGAAAAAGCATGTGTAGAATTGTTACTCTGCCTAGTTCTTCATTTTCAAACACCATAGAAATGTTTTTTTCCTCTTAATTGAGTTTTATTGAGATTTCTAAGGAAGAGCTGTACTGTTAGAAAAATCCTGCAGGGGACACCACATCAGTGGCTCCTATTTACTGAGCATGTTTTAAATATTGCCCTGAATACTTGTATGCATTAATTTTGCCTGTAAGCGTGTTACAACCCTAAAGAATATTTTTATTCCCATTTTACATATGAGGAAACAGAGCCAAAGGGATTCAGTAACTAATAGCAGAGGTGGGCCTTAAATCCAGGGCTTTGTTTTCGTAGTGCTGGCAATGCACTCAGGGTCTTGTTAGTACATGCTAGGCAAGCAATCTACCACTGAGCTACACTCCCAGCCACTTTGGGTAATTCTTTCTTGGGAGGGGTAGGGGGAGGAGTTTCATAATGTAGTCCAGGCTGGCCTTGAACTCACTATGTAACCCAGGCTGGCCTCGAACTGATTGTGATTTCCTACTTCAGCCTTCTGAGTTCTGGGATTACTGGTATGCACTGTCTTACCTGGTCAACCTAGTAATTTTTTTTTTTTTTGTGTGTGTGTTTTAAGGCAGGATTTCACTATGCAGTTCAAGGTGGCCTTGAACTTACTTTGTAGCCCAAGTTGGCTTCGAACTCACAGTGATTCTCCTGCCTCAGTTCCCCAAGTGCTGGGATCATAGGCATGTGCCACCAAACCTGGCTGATGTGATTTTTTTATACAATGGAGTTTACTCTGCCATAAAGTAGGATATATATGAGACATTTCTAGGTGAATAGATATACCTCGAGACTGTACTCTTAAGTGAAATAAATTGGACATGCAGGTGTAAATATCACATTGTTTCTCTGGTGTGAGAAACCAAAAGTGTAAATAAGGACCAAAATGCATAACAAATATTGTGAAACAGGAAGAAAATGTTCAAATGAAAAGGAGAACAAGA